GCCCTCTGGAAGGAGACAGAGAGGAGCTGGGTTTGAATCCCGACTGCCTCTCTTGCTTGCTGTGTGTGAGCAGGTCACTGGCCTCTCTGAGCCAGGGCCTCAGTTTCCACGTCTGTACCATGAGGCTGAGAAAATGAGACAGCACAGGAGGTGCTCAGCACAGGGTCTGGCCCACAGAAAGGCCGCAAGAAATGGTGCTGGTGCTGCTGCTCATGAAGACAGTCTTCTGGAATCACCCAGCTGGCCCCGCACCTGGCCCCGCAGGAAGTCTGACAAAGAGCTCGCCGTGGAAGCTTTTCCTGCCAGTCAGCGCAAGGGGAAGATGGGGGCGGGCCACCTCTGTCCCCCTGCCTCTGAGCACTGCCCCCGGCCCCCAGCATACACTGTCATGCCTTCCACCCGGCCTCAATGGCCAATTGTTCTCCTCCAGGCCCAAACCAAGCCAGACCTGCCAGGAACCAGCCACTAAAAATAGCCAGGCCGGAGTGCTGGGGTCCAGCTGCTTATCTCACTCCAGGATCGGGATCTGCCCCCTCTTCCTGGCCACTGCTCTGGGCGAAGTCCAGCTTGGCCAGCTCCCAGCTCACCCTCAAGGAGGTCTAAACTCACGCCCACAAAATATTTCATAGAAAATTCGAGGCTGGCTATAATTCTCTGACAGCAGACCCTTGGTGCAGACTTGCAGACTTGGCCTGTGGTGAGCTGGGAAGAAGGGCCTGGAAGAACAGGCCATAACTGGGAAAGCACAGAGAAAGAAGGAAAGGCATTCAAGGTGGTAGGAACAGCAGAAGCAAAGGGATGAGGGAGGATGCTGAACGGAACAGTGAGGGGCTACAGGAAGTCTCTTTGGTAGAGTAGGAAGGGAGTCTTCAAGGGAAACTCAGGCTCAGCTGAGCAGGGCCTTGAATGCCAGGCAAGGCTTCCCTGACCTTCAAGGCCACACCTTGCCAGGAACAAGTGCCCTGGATGCTTTGACTCTCAGGATCTCCTCTGCTCTCTCCTCCCTAAGGAGTAGTCATAGCCCTGAGGGAGGAGCCGAGGGCTGGTGGGAACAGAGAAGTGTCTCTAGCACACCGCTCCTAGCCTCAGGAAGGGGATTTCTCATCAGAGACATATCATTATCTGACGCAGAGGCTGGGAACACCAAGCCCGCAGACTTTCAAGCCTTCAACTGTCAGCCTTCAAGAACCCATTCTGGGCTGGGTACTGGGGACCCACATGGCCACTCAGTTCTAGCCCTTCCAGGGCTCATGGTCCAGGGGAGAAAGACAAGTGAAGAGGCAACTCCAGGGCTGAGTCACCTGAGCGCAGTGCTTGGACAGACCAGAGAAGAGCCCTCCTCCAGACTTAGGATGACAGCAAAGAGTTCCTGGAGGACACTCGCCCTGAACTGAATCTCAAAGGTTAAGGAGGAAGTGGCCAGGTAAAGAGGAAACAAGAACTGTGTTTGAGGCTGAGAGCAGCATGTGCAAAGGCCCCAGAGTACAAGTGAGTTTAGCTGGTGTGTGTGTGGGCAGGAGCAGGGTGAAGATGGGGTGTGGAGGTATTGAGGCTGGAGAGGTCTTTGGGGAACAGATTTCTAAACTCCTCTGAGTCCTTCATGGACAAAAATAGTAGTAACTCACAGAAAGGCTGGCAAATGAAATTGTTGGGAAAATGGAAATCAACCACACCGAGTAGATTAAATCCTATTTTTTAAATTCAGAGTCTGGAAATTTGATCCTGATTATTCTGTAAGGAAAGCCTTGTATCATTTGTACATTGGGGGGTTAGATTTAAACGCTGTGCTTAAATCGAGAATACCTCCATTACACAGGAAGCATCTTCAAAAGTCCTTCCTGCGAGGGCCCAGCCAGACAGATGGGGGTTCTAGAAAGACCCAGCATGTACTAGCCTGTGGGTGCTTGCAGCCCAGAGTGAAGAGCTCAGTTCTGGTGAAATGGACAGAAGGTAGGTCATCCTTCCCCACCCTCACCATCAGGCACAGCCACGTGACTGTTTTGGCCAATGGGCTATTAGCAGAGAAGTTTCAAACAGAAGTTTAAAATACACTTGTGTCTGAAAGAAAAAGTAACACTAATTCTACACAATCTCTTCTAGAAAATAAACGAGGCAGGGAGCACTTCCCAACTCATTTTAAGAAGCTGTATTACCTTGATACCCAAACCAAAACAAAGAGAGTACAAAGAAACTATACACCAATATCCCTCAGGTATATGATGCGAAATTCCTTAACAAAATATTAGCAAATAGAAGTCAGCAACATAGTCTAAAAATTATACACCATTACCAAATGAAATTTACTCCAGGGATGTGAAGCTGATTCAATACTTGAGAATCAACCAATGTAACCCACCTTATTCACAGGTTAAAGAAGAAAAGTCACATGATCCTATCAATGGACTTTTTTAAATTAATAAAAATAAAAATTGTTATCAATGATAAAAATTCTCAAAAATTAAGAACAGAGGGCAATTTCCTATATAAATAAACTTCCTATATAAACATAGATGTACATATAAATAAACATGATATAGAAATAAAAGATCTTCCTAAATAAATAAATAAAACCTACAAAAACCCTATAGCTGATATCATTTTTATTGGTGAAAGACTGAAGCCCCAATAAGGCAAGAAAGGAAAATAAATAGTATACAGATCAGAAAGGAAAATATAAAACTGTCCCTGTTTGCAGATGACATAGTTGTTTATGTAGAAAAATTCAAGGAATCAACAACAAAAAAACCTCCTAGAACTATTAAGCAGGTTCATCAAAGTCACAAACTACAAGATCAATGTACAAAAATCCACAATATTTCTATGTGCTGTCAATGAACATGTGGAAACTGAAATACAGAATCATTTACAATCACCAAAAAAAGAATGAAATACATGGGTGTAACTCTAACAAAACATGTATGGGATTTGTACTGGAAACTACAAAATACTGATGAAAGACATCAAAGAAGATCTAAATAAATGGAGAGACATACCACGTTCATGGATTGGAATATTGAGCATAATAAAATTACCAGTTCTCCACATTCTGAAATACAGATTTAACACAATTATTATCCAGATCTCAGGAAGACTTTTTGTAGACTAGGCAAGATTATCCTAAAATTTGTACAGAAAGATAAAGGAACTGGAATAACCAAATACAACTTTGAAAAAAGAGAATAAAGTGGGAAGAGTTAAATCTACACAGGTGGAGGGATAGGAAATATAGATCAGTGAAACAGAATTGAGAATCTAGAAAAGACCCACTCGAGTATGGCCAACTGGTTTTTGACAAAGATGCAAAAGGAATTCAATGATAGGATGGCTATAAGAAAAAAATTACAAGTGTTGAAGATGTGGAATGATTGGAATCTTCACACACTGCTGGTAGGAATATAAAATGGTACGGTTTGGCACTTCCTCCAAAAGTTAAACATAAGAATGGATGACTCTATTTCACACCAAGGTCTATACCCAAGAGAACTGAAAACATATGTCCACATAAAAACTTGTACATGAATGTTCATAGCAACATTATTCATAATAGCCCAAATGTGGAAACAACCCCAAATGTGGAAACAATCCCAGTCCATCAACTGATGAATGGATAAATAAAGTGCAGTATGGAATGTGGTATTTGGAATGTGACATATACAATGAAATATTATCAGGCAATAAAAAGAAATGAACTTGCTACAACACAATGAACTTGAAAACGTTATGCTAAGTGAAAGAAGCAGAAGGAAAAGAGCACATATTGTTTGGTTCCATTTATATGAAATGTCCAGAATAGGCAAATCTGTAGAAAAAGAAAGTAGATTCGTGGCTGTCCAGGGCTGAGTGGGAGGGGGTGTGAGGAAAGGAGTGACTCTTAACAGGTTTGGAGTCTTTTTAGGGGATGATGAAAATGTTCTAAAATGAATTATAGTGATGGTTGTACAACTCTGCGAATATGCTAAAAACCATTGCATTGTATATTTTACTTAGGTGAATTGTATCTGTGGTTACACTGCAGTAAAGCTGTTATTTAAAAAAAATCAGTGGATGAAGGATATTCTTTTCAACAAATGCTGTTGGAGCAATTGGATGTTCTTATGCAAAAGATAAACCTCAACCTGAATCTCATATTTTATACAAGAACTAACTCAAAATGGATCATAGACTTAAAATGTAAAACTACAAAACTTTTAGAAGAAAATGTAAGAGAAAATCTTCAGAACCAAGGGCTTGGTGAAAAGTTTCTAGACGTAACACCAAAAGCATGATCCACGAAAGAAAAAAAATGGTGATTTGGACTCAGTCAAAATTCAAAATTTTTGCTTTGAAAAAGCTACTATTAGGGGGATGAAAAGACAAGCTACACACAGAGAGGAATCATTTGTAAATCGCATCTCTGACAAAGGATTCATACGTAGAACATACCAAGTGCTCTCAAAACTCAACAGTAAAAAAAAGCAAACACTCTGATTAGAAAACAGGCAAAAGGCAGGAAGAGACAGTTTCACCAAAGGATATACAGATGGCAATAAGTACATAGAGAGATCTCCAGTATCACTAGCCATTAGGTTAATTCAGATTAAGACCTGGATGAGATATCATCACATATCTATTGGAACAGCTGAAATAAAACATAGGGGCAACACTAAATGTTGGCAAGGATGCAGGGAAACTGGGTCTCTCATAGTCAGCTACTCTGGAAGATAGTCTGGCAGCTTCTTAAAAATTAAATCTATTCTTACCATATGACCCAGCAATGGTACTCCTGGACATTCATCCCAGAGAAATGACAACTTGTGTCCACATAAAACTCTGTACACAATTGTTCATAGCAGCTTTATACATAATAGCCCAAAACTGGGAATAACCAAAATGTCCCTCAATAAGTGAATGGTTATGCAAACTACTGTGTATCCATAACAAAGAACTCTAGTCAGTAATCAACAGGGTTGAACTATTGACATACACAACAGCTTGTGTGGATCTCAAGGGTATTATGATGAGTGGAAAAGACAATCTAAAAAGGTCACATACTGTGTGATTCCATTTTTATAACATTCTTAAAATGACAAAATTATAGAGATGGAGAGCAGATTAGTGGTTGCCAGGAGTTTGGGATGGTGGAGGTGGGGGGTGAGTGTGACTATAATGGGATAGCAAGGGAGATCTTTGTGGTGAAATAGTTCTGTATCTGGACTGCGGTAGTGGTTACATAATCTACACATGTGATAAAATGACATAGAACTATCCACACGCATAGTACCAATGTCAGATTCTGGTTTTGATGTTGTACTATAATTAAGTAAGATGTAATTATTGGGAGAAACTAGGTGAAAGGCACATGGGACCTCTCTGTACTATCTTTGCACAATTTCCTGTGAATATATAATTATTTCAAAATTAAAAATTGAAAAACAGAAACAAAAGCAGCTTTTATTTCAGTGAGGATGCTCCCCAGGTAGATGCTGACTCTTCTGTCCCTGGAGAGGGATACATGGAGCAGATCTGAGCACAGCCCATGATGAACACAATGAAGAGTCAAGTCCAGCCCAGCTCCTCCTGGATCAGTTGATTCTATCTGACTTGTAGAAGCACAAGGGAGAATAAATGATGTTTTAAGCTGCCGAGCTTTGGGGTGGTTTGTTTTGCAGCACTGGTATGACAATAGCTGACTAATACATGACCACTTGTCATATCTCCTCTCCATTGCCCTAAGAGGATAGATGTCTGTCTTTGGTGACCATGGCAAAGATAGCTAATTTTCTCCAACACCTGCTGTACCCTTCTGTTACCTCAAAGTAATAGAACCTCTGGGTTTTATCTCACATGGCTATCTGCATTCAGACTACATTTTTCAGCCTCTCTCATAATGAGGTGTGGCCATGTGACCAAGTCCTGACCAATGCAATATAAGGGAAAGTGTCATATGACAGTTTCTGGAAGCCTTCTTTAAGAAATAATTAACATCCACCTTTTGCCCTCTTTTTCTTACCTCTTCATGCTTCCCACCAATTGGAATGCAGAAGTGATGACTGGAGCTCAAGCAGCCATCTTGGACATGGAGTAAAAGTTAAAATTTGAGGATGGCAAAAGGAAAACAAAATAGAAGGAATTAGGGTTTCTGATGATCATGGAGATGCCATACCATCCCTGAGCTGCTTATATATTAATTTCCTTTATTTGAGAGAGGTTCTTATTCTATCTTTTCTGTCACTCACAAGAGAACTCAGTCTTTACTTACACAATGGCTTCTTTTCCAGGCTACCTTTCTCCATGAGCTTATCCTGTGCAACTACTAACCATGCTGAGGACTACTATGAGGCTTCTAGCCACTAAATAAGTATTTATTAAGCAATTACTATGTGTCAGGCAAAGTAATAATGCTGGGGAAACAAAAGGAGAAAGACAGATGTGGTCCTTACCCTCAAGGGCTTGATAGTTGAGAGGGAAAGAAATGATCACATATGTATAAGTAATCACCATCTATGACAAGTGCCATGAGAAAAAGTCACAAGATACTTTGTGAGCAGACAGCGGGGTCCTCTTCCAGACAAGGCTATTAAGGAAGGCTTCTCTGAGGAATTGACATCTAATCCAAGCTCCGGAGGAGGAGGGATAAGAATATAGCTTTGTGCTTAAGAGCTTGGGCTCTGGACCCAGCCAGCCTGCGTTCAAAACCCATCTCTCTCCTGTTGCCCTGTGACTTTGAGCAAGGCACTAACAACCTCTCTGTGCCTCTGTCTTCTTGTTTGAGAAATAGGGTTTTATTTAATAAAAAATTTATGTAGCCTTTACAATGTGCCAGGCATTGTTCTAAGCACTTTTAGCTCTCATGATAGCTACCCTATGGTACTAGTACTATTCCTTTCCCCATGGACAGATGGGGAAGCTGAGGCCCAGAAAGTGAAGCAACTTGCCCCAGATCACACAACTAACTGGAAGAGCTGGGAGCTACCCCCAAGTAATCTGGCTCTGGAATATGTCCTCAGGACACTGCACTATAGTGGGTAATAACACCAGCTCTTAACTCATGGGGGTTTTGTGAGCATAAAATAAGAAAGTGTCAGTTAAACACTTAGCACAGTGCCTGGCAAATATTAAGTGTTCAATAAATGTTAGGTATTATTTTTGTTATTAGCAGTAACAACTAATAAAAGAGGGAAAGAGTGTTCTATGCAGAGCGAAGTACACGCGCAAAGGCCCTGAGGTAGAAGGGAGGGTGGTGCATACAAGGACCTGAAGCCAGACAGACCAGAAGGGCTGTATGCAGAGAGCTCAGCGGTGGTCATCATCCTTCTCAACTACCCTATTAGTGGGAACTATTATAACCCCCTCTTTATAAATGAGGACACCAGAGAGGTTAAGTGACTTGCCCAAGGTCATGCAGTGAATAGGCATCTGAGCCTGGACACAAACCAGGTCTGTCAGCCTCCTAGCCACCACTCTCCACTGCCTTGCAATGTCCAGGCTCCAGGGATGGAGCGTGTGCCCCTTGTGAGAACAGTTCAGCGGGGGAAGTGAACACAGCCTGAGGTGTCAGAGTCGGATGGCTCCTAGAGAGAACTTAGCTTTCCTTCATTCCCTTTATATGTGATAGTTTTCCCCGGGGTGGGGGTTATGACCTGAGCTCGCCCCCCTGGGAGGCAGGACTCTGGCCTGGGCTCAGTGTGTGTCGCAGAGGCAGGGTAGGGGTGGACTGTACCTCAGGGGAGGAGCATAAATTACCAGCAGACCTTTCCTCAGCCCAGCCTGACAGAGGGCTGGAGGGCAGTGTCCCGAGGGCACGTGAACCCTGAAGACTCGGGCCGGTGGTAAACACACAGCTCCTTCCAAGTCTGCCCCCCCAGTCCTCAGTCCTCTGGGGAAATGGTTAACCCTGTTTTTAGAATCCTGACGACTCATGTGTACACACACTAACACACACACTCTCTCCACATTCAGAGACACACTTGGCTTGAATCCCAGCCCCTCGCATCACACAAAGTGCCATCTGCCCCTTCAGAATATCCTCAGACAGGAGGAAAAGTTTGCTTCTCCTTCTTTTCCAGAAGAAAACAACAGGAGAGGGGAGGGGCCTCATCCAAGGCCACACGTGGGTTTGGGACAGAGCTGGGGGCAGAACAGCTGCCTGACAGGATACATGCTATTCCGTTGCCCCTGAAACGGCAGGTAGGACCCTGCTGAATCCACTGGGGCCTGGGGCCCAACCCCATTCCCTAGGTGCCCCGTCCCTGGCCTTGAGTCACCGGCCCTCCAGTTGGAAACTGGCTGTGGCATAGATGCGGGGGCTGCGTCCTCCTGCACAGCTGGCTGGGGCGTGGCCTGACCTCACCTCTTGGCTTCCTCAGTCGCAGCCCCAGGCCTCTCTCTCTCAGCCCCTACAGTGGGGGGCAGTTGCAGGGAGCCCTCTGTGGCCGACACTGTGCTCAGGGTTTACACATATTATCTCACTGAGTCCACAGAAGTCCCATGAGGTGGGATTATTATACCCATTTTATAGATGGGATGACTGAGGCGTACAGGGGTAAACAACTTCTCACACAGCTCTACTGAGAACTGAGTCAGCTCGGGACCAGATATCCCCACACACTTTAAGTTCACGCTACTTATTGGCCTTCCTTAGAAAAGTTCTGCCCTCAAGCCAAGGAGAAGCCCCGAATCCAAGCCACTAAATCCTCAGACTGGCTGGAGATGAGGCTCCCTGGGAGTTAGGGATGGATCCCAGTTCCTGCTCAGCCACCGCATACTTGTCCACTTGCTCTGAAACTTAACTTTCTCATTTGTAAAGTGAAAACAACACTCGGACCTTCCCAAGCCTGTTGTGAGGACCGATGTAGGTGAAGCATGGGCCGCCCTTGGTATGTGGTTGTAGCTGTTACTTTTTATCTGCAACCTGGCACTGCCCTCCCCCAGCCCCAGCGAGGCCTCTACTCCCATGCGCGCTGAGCAGGCTCAGATCAGCCCCACAGCTCTTCCTCTTCCCCGACTGTCTCCTCCAACCCAAGGGAGGGGCACCCCAGCAGCAGGGGGCCCAGGGCACCCCCTTCCCTCCTGCCTGGCCCGGTCAGGGAGAGGACAGGCGAAGCCAGATGTTTCACAGATGTTGCTGATTGTAAGCAAAACAACAGCACGGGAGCGGCTTCTCTGCTTGAGGGCCTGAGAGCACTGAGGGAGAAGCAGGGGCGAGGGCCAGGCCTCAGCAGGAAGAAGTGAATCAGAGAGACTTTCTAGGGTGGGATGTCAGCAAGAGGGATCATGGGAGGAGGCATTAGACAGAGTCCAGGGGGAGTAAGGCAGAGGGGTAGGGGTAGGGAGCTCAAGGGAGTCTGGTGAGGGTGAGAGGAGCAGGGAGAAGTGAAGCCGTGGAATCGGGCGAGGTTGTGGGGGCTGCCTGGGCAGAAGACCTGTGGGGGCTCCTGCTGACTTGCCTCCTTTGCCCCACCCCGACCCCAGGGTCCCAACTCCAATGGGGAAGAATTTTAGTGCCCCCAAGAGGCTCCCAGGCCATCCTGAGCTGTCTCAGAAGGTAATGAGCTCCCTGTCACAGGAGGGGTGCAAGCAGAAACCCAAGAAGGGACCCAGGCACCAGGCAGCAGTCATAACCAGATGGTCTCTTCCGGGCTGGAGAGCCTGAGAGGCCCTAACTGTGCCCAGCCAGGTGAAGAGGACAAGAGCCTAAGGAACTTGACTGGCCCACAGCTAGTTGGCTGAAGTTAGCGCAGGCAGGCCAGTCCTGATCCCCTCCCACTGGCATCCAACCAAGTGGCACTACTGTGCCCTCTGGCCTTTCCACCCTTCACACCCTATTTGCCAGCTGACCCCAACTGCTCACAGCCAGGCCAAGCCTGGGCAGCAGTGCAGGGACAAAATGTTTCTGACTTACTCCCTGGAACAGGCTGGCTTTGTCCTTTAGCAAAACCATTCCTGGAAGGACAGGAAGCTGGGGTCTGAGACTAAAGGCTTCCTGTCCACACTAATCAGGGTAGAGAATGAGCCTTGCCACCTCCCCGTGACCCTGATAATGTTATGGCTGACAGCAGTTCGTGTTGAAGAAGCACATCCCTGCAGCAGGGCTAAAACTGGGCTAAACTTGCCGCAATGACCTCACTGAGTCATTGCAACTCTGGGTTAGATGCCAGTACGCACAGTTTATAGATGAGAAAACTGAGGCAAAGGGAGTTTATGCAGCTTTTTTTCCAAAGATTTGCAGCTAGCCGTAAGTGGTGGAACCAGGGCTGAATCCTGGGCCTTGTACCTCTGTGCAGTGTTGCTTCCCTCCCTCCACCTCAGTCTTCCCATCTGTGAGATGCGGAGGGAGCTGGACATGATGACCTCACAGCTCCCAGTTCCCACAATGACCAGCAGGGATTGCCGGATGGAACCAAGGGGCCTGCTCCTCCCTCCCATGTGAGAGAAAAAGTGGAAACAGTCCTGACACCGTACAGGTAAGGGGACTGTGGCCTGAGGCAGTGAGGGCTGTGCCCAAGGTCCCCCCAGGAGTCTAGGCCCCGGTAGGGCAGGCAAATCTAGGCGCCTTTCCAGGTGGCTCTCCAGCTGCTAGGCAAAGCCAAAGAGGCTGGGAGGCCAACGGTCCAGGGCATGAGTAATGGAAACCAGGCAGTGGGGCCTTCCAAAATGGGAATTCCATCTGCCTGACTTGGTTCTCCTGGACTTTGGTTTCCATGGCAACTTGGGAATGGGAAGGTGGAGGGCCTGGCCCAAGGCTGAATCCCTAGAATCTGAAGAAAGGGGAAGGTGAGTCTCCTCTGGGCTGAGCGTCTCCTCCAAGCATATGATGCCACAAAGAAGCCAGGCCAGGCTGGGACTTGGAAGTCCTGGGCGCTGCTGTCAGCTCTGCTGCTACCATTTTGAGGGGAACAGGAGTGGCATTGCAGTCCTCAGCCTTGATTTTCTTAGCTGTTGGGTCCTCAAGTCTCAGGTTTGGACGACGCCTGAGAGGTTCCCTTGCTCTGAACAAGGAGCACATCTCTGTCCTCAATTATTCCATAGTCACTGAGACACTGGCAGATCTGTTGTGAGAAAGCCCTTCACCATCTACAAAGCCAAACAGGGCTCACTGGCCAGGTCCAGTGCCAGACCCCAGGTGACTAGAAGACCCAGCCCCACTCCTAGCTCACCCTCCAGTGCTAGGGGGAAAGGCTATAACATATTTTAAACACCTATCGTATGCCTGGCCCCAAGAGACCACCATTTCTGATGTTCTCCCTGTGCAGGGGGGAAACTGGGGGAGGCTTTGCCCAGGGAGACCAGCAAGGGGATGTAGGGAGGAGCATGGCTGCGCAGCCCCATATCCCGTGCATCGCCAATCCCCAGTGGGCAGACCTGAACCCAGGACCCCAGGCAGGGAACATGATCTGAGGAGATGGGGCCCAGCCCCTCCTACACCAGTTCTGTCTGGTTTCAACTAAGTCAGCCCAGCTGAGCCAGTCCTCAGCCCAGGCCACACCCTGGTCCCTACCCCTATACCCTGGCAGGTGGTATATGTGGGTGTCAGGGACAGCTTTTGCACCAGCTTGGCCAGGCTCCCTTCTACCACTCTAAGCAAGTGGTCCAAAGCCTCCTCTGAACTGTGGCTTCAAATCAGGCCTTTCCTAAATTTGCATCTCCTGTTGGCCACAGAGGGACTCTCTGGGAACCCTAGCCACCCACCCTCAACCCGTCATCTCCCCAGCTCTTCTTTCTGTCCTAAGGGCCTCCATGAGTCTGTCCGTCTGCAACTGCCACCCTGCCTGAGATTCTGGCCCCATCTACCTCTGCCAATCATCCCCGTGCCTCCTGAAAGTTCCACTAGACCCTCAGGGTGTGACAGGACAGAGAAGTGAAGGAACTTGCTGAAGGTCACATAGCCAGTTAGCAGCCAAGCGAGGACGCCATCCAGCAGCCGGTAGAGGATGGTGATCCAGGGTGCGGGCTTTGCAGCCGGGTGGGCTTTGACTGAACCCTGTCTCTGCCATTTGCTGGATGTGTGACCTTGGACAAGTCACCTTACCTGCCTGGCCTCACTCACCTCATCTGTGAAATGATGAGGCTTGCGGAGAAGATGAGATGGTGAGTGAAATGAGCTGGGCAGAGCGCCTGGCACGGAGGAAGAGATGGTCAGAGAGCAGCACCGGCGTATCAAGTATGCAGCGCCGGGACGGAGGCAGGTGATGGCAGAAGCTGGACTGACAGCCCACCTACCAACTGGCCCAGCCCAGACACCCTGGGAAGCCTCAAAACCAGGAACACCCAGAAATGGTCAAGAACAAAAAATAACACAGGCCTTTTATTTGCTCCAGAACTCGGCCGCTGTGTGGTCTGAGGATGCCATGCTTTCCTGGAGCCCCCGAGGGACCCCGAACTCAGGGGTGCTGGGTTTGGGCACGAGGTCAGGCTACAGACCGCGCCCCGCCGGGCCTCGTCAGTCCAGCAGGACCAGCTGCCTGCCACTGAGGCTCGGGACCAGCGAATCCCCTGAAACTGCAAAATAGTGTCCACCTTCTCTGCAAGGTGGCTTTTCACAAGGCGTTGGTTAAAATATTGCACTTGTAAATTAGGAAAACTGATGAGGCAAAGGTTTCCTATTACAGGACGATGCGCCAAGCATCCAGCTACTGTTTAAATAAATAAAACTCAAGGCGGGGATCTGAGCTGCGAGCCCCGGCAGCCCCCCGGAGAGCCCCAGGGCCCAGACCTGGGACCCCCGCCCCATCAGCCGGTTCTTAAGGAACTTGGTCGTTGCGAGGTCTCTGCAGCAGGGAGCAGCAGCCCCGGATCTGGCTCTGCCAGGGCCCCTGACCTGCCAGGGCCCGCAAGCCCCCTCGTACCAGGGCAGTGGGGACCCAGTGGGGCCAGTCCCTCTACTCCTCCAGTGGCATGGGCCTCTCTTGGTCCAGGCCTCTCATCCAAATGTCCGTCTGTCTGTCCGGACGCAGCCTCCGGGGACTTGCTTGCCCCCTCTGTCGCAGGGGTAGGGAGGCAGGTGGGGAGGGGCCCAGCCCGCCTGGTGTGAATGCTGAGCTCTCGCCCCAAGGCCCCTAAAGCGGGGGACTCATCTTCTTCTGGTTAATGAGGTCCAGGTAGAGGTCAGAGCGGAGGAAGCGCGGGTACGAGTCCTTCTCCATGAGCCCAAAGATGCGCTTCTGTGCCAGATCAAAGCAGCCCCGCGTGACGCTCTGCATGTTGTCCTTGGTGTGCTCCCGGGTGTACGAGTCCAGGTTGACCTGTGCAGCCAGTGGGTGACATGGTCAGGGCTGCCTGCCAGAAGCTGCCCCTGGGGGCCCGGGGGCCAGGACAGGACCTATCCAGCTTCTCACCTCCAAGCCCCTCTGCTCTGCCGCTGGGGTTCAGAGGCCTACAGGTTAGCGGAATCAAGCCCTGGCTCAGTCACCTACTGTAGGGCCTGAAAACCTCTAGGGACAGGCGGCCCGAGTTCAAATCCCAGCAGTGCCACATCTAGGTGAGTGACCTTAAGCAAATCACTTGAGTGCTCTGAGCCTCAGCTGTCTTATCCATAGGCTAGAGTAATAGCACGCTCCTCAGAGACTTGTGAAAATTAAGCAAGATCATCCTTATGAAATAGGTATGTCTAACACACAGGAAGCACTCAATAGACGCTATGCTCTGAGACTGTCTCCTCATTTTTAAAATGAAGATAATATTAAAACCTGTTTTACAGGTTGTCATGGAGGGCATATGCCTAGCATCCAGCAGCACTCAGTGACCATTTTTACCAATCAGGATTCTGTTCTTCCTGGGTCCCAAGCCTGCTTCCTTTTTGCTCTGAACACATGGTCCCTAAGAGTCACTCTGGCCTCTCCCCTTCCTGAGCTCCTCCTTGAAACTTCCAGGTACCCCAATCACTGAGAGACCACTGAGCACTGGGACGGAGGCCCAGGGACCCAGCCCAAGGCCTTACCTCCTTGCAGGCCTGGATCGCAATGTACTCAGCGAAGATCTTCTTGGCCTTGGATGCCATCTTGGACTGTGACTTGACCTTCTTGAAGTCCTCGCATGCCAGCCAGAATTCCAGGTTCTCTTCACTAAACTCAGTGCGAAGAAAAGCCTGGAATACCGCTAACCCATCTGTGAGGAGAAGTCCAGACGCTTGGGTGAGAGGCCAAACCAGCGTCTCCTACCCTCAGGCCCCCTAGCTTACCCTCCTGGGGCCTTTCAGATGTAGATGATGGGGCCTTAGCAAGCAGACCAGTTTCTGAGAGCCAAGAACCCTGGGGTATTGTCCCATCCCTGCCATTGCCTCTTTGTGGGCCTTGGCCAGGTCTCTCCTCATCTGTGCCTCAGTTTCCTCATCTGTCAAATGGGGATAATCAGCCTCATCTCCTGGAAACTTGCGAGGATCAGATGGGTTCCTGCCCATGAGAACGCAGTGTAAGCCCTCAGTACACAGAAGTGTTTATTGTTATTCTGGGAATATGGGTCTGAGCACACAGGTCCCAGCGGCCTCTGGCAGGCAGTGCCAGCTCCCTTGGACAGGGAAGGGCTGGCAGAAGCCAGCTCCAAGGCCAGACCAAGGGCCTCGGCCTTTCCCAAAAGTAGGGACACCTAAGTGAGCCCAGGAAAGAGGGAAAGGCGACCTCTCCAGGACCAGGCCTGGGAGGAGGGGGAAGGAGAGGGGAGAGAGCACCCAGGGAGGGGACAGGCCCGCCGGCCCCCACTTACATTTGTGGAGCAGCAGCTTCTCCAAGGACTCGCCCCACTTGAGTGCCTCCTCTGAGGTGGGCCTGAGGGGCGAGGCAAGCGGCACAGTGAGGGCACCGGGAGGCTTGGGGAAGTGCGGCCAGAAGCTGCCCCTGGTGCTGTGTGAGCTCTGTAAGCTGCCCTTGGCCCCGGAAGCAGCTGAGCCCAGGAGGAAGCCCACCCTCTTTCTCAGGGCCGGCATCACTTCTACCCCCACCTCTGCCCCTCCCTAACCATCCTTCCCACGGCCGAGGCTCCCCATGAGGGTTGCTGATCCAGGAACCAGGCCCCCTCCACAAGAGCCCCCATCACCCCAGAGCTGGATCAAGCCAACAGCATTCTCTCCGAACCCCACCGCCAGCCCTGCTCCCCCGGGAACCAGTGAGTGCCTGAGGGGGCCCAAGGGTGCCAGGGAGGACCTACTTGAATGACTTCATCACTTTGTCTGCCTTGCCCGCTGGCTGGGCCCCAGGGGATTCGTTCCGCCGCCTGAAGATACCTAGCTTGTTCTTCATGTCCTTGGCTCTGGGGGCAGAAGCAGAGAAGGGGGTCGGTCAGTCTGGCACACTCGCCGCAGCACATTCAGGTTGGGGAG